GCCGCTGGTCGGCGCCGCGGGGGTCCCCCCGCCGTGAAATGGGATTGGGAACCGATCTCTGCTGCACAGCCCCAAGAGCCACAGCTGAAGAACGAGCCCGGAAAAAGAGTGCCCGGCTCTACTGCAAAAAAAGAAAAAATCAACCTCCTGATGTTAACAACAAGCACTTCCCAGGATCGCTGACTCCTAAATTAGGCTCTGCCCTGGGCAAAGCACCTCGCCAGGGCTGAAAGGAGATTGTCAGACCCACTGCTGCCATCATGGGGCTGGAACATCCCCCCCCTACCCCGTGCCTGCTGGGAAGGCTTTGAAGTGCTCAGGGACTAATTCCCATTGCACACCCCAGTGATGTAAACTGGGAATGGATTGCAACTGGGAGTTGAGCAGCCAGCAGCCGTGTGGGCTCCCTATGATGCTTGTCGGTGCCGGATCAGCCCCTGCCCACCTTGGTGCTGCCCTCTCCCCAAGGCCGATGTCCTGGAGGGCTGAACAGCACCCGGCATTTAGGGATCCAGCTGGGACATCCCAGGAAGATGACATCCAGGCTGGGGCTGGTGCCAGCCCGCAGATGGGGCAGGCAGGGCTGGGCTTGGATGCGGCTGGAGGCGGAGGGCGCGGAAAAAAAAGATCGGGAGCCATGCTGTCGTGACTCAGCGCTGCAGGCAGAGCCCGGCAGATCAGGATTTGGGGCCGGGGTGTGGGCAGCAGTTTTGCCTTCCATGCATGTCTACGGCTGTGGTGTCACTGGGCTTGGGGCTCGCTCCTGGTTTTCTTCTCGTCAGAGCTCCCAGGTCGGTGGGGCTCTGGGACCTGCTGGGGATCCGGTCAGCGGGGAAAAGCTGTTGCCTTTTCCGTGCTTTTTGAGAGCCCAGCACCCGCCCCTGCCTGCAGACGGGGCTGCCACGCTGTGGCAAACCTGGAGAAGACTTTGGGTCTCTGGTCTGTGCACAAGAGATGTCGTATGAACATCACCTCCACCGTGTATCTGTGCCCAGGATTTGGCCTTTTCCTGCAGCAGAGTAGCCCCACAGACATCCCAGGTTCTCCAAGGGCTTCGGCTTTGCCCCCTTCTCGCCCGGGGTGGGCTGGCCAAGGTGTGAAGCCCCCCGCTCCTCCTCTCTGCTTGCGAGGATTTATTGAGGGAGATTTATTGATGAAGACCAGACCACAGAGTCCCTCGGTGTGGAGCTCGCTCCCTGAGACAGGGATTTCTTTTACAGCCCTGAGCCCTTCCCAGAGCTGTCACTGTAACGTACAGCCGGTGGTGTCGGATGGGGAAAAGGCCAGGAGCAGCCCCTGGACGTGCCGGTGGGGCCGAGCGTATTTCAAAGTGATGGGTGCCCTCTGCAAACAGAGCCCCAGTGTCGGGGACTGAAGGCAAACTCCTCATCCAACCCCTAAATCCGGTGGCATTGGAAAGCCCGAGCCCCTGGGGCAGGGCGGGTGCTGATGCCACGGCTTTGCTCACCTGCTCTCTGCGTCCCCCGATGCTCAGCTCAGGGTGGGACACGGGGCCCAGGTCTGGGCATGGGGGTCCCTGGCACATCAGCTCTCACGCATGGCGCTGGGGAAGCCCCTGGCATTGGCTGGGGACCGCCAGCATCATTCCTCGGGGCGGGATGCTCTTGGCTGCAGCTGGGGAAAGGAAAGGCAGCAAGGAGATTATTTCCTAGCCCGTGCTGGGGGCTTGAGAAGGGACACAGACCTGGGCAGCTAGCTCTGACAGCACAGCCATCCCCCATGCCCTGCTCCCTGTGGGGATTTCTGGCCTTTCATTACCATCCTGGGTGCTGCTGGCATCGCTTGCATCAAGCCACAGCACATCCTTACCCTTGGCACTGTTTCCTTTCAGAAAAATAAAGCAGCTCATTATCTCGATGAGCTAAGATGTTAAAAAAAAACACAAAAAAACATGGCAAGGCTCTGAAATTCTGGCACTATCAGATCAGCGAAGCTTAATGGATTTACAACCAGATATTCCCCATCAGCAGCGCTGGAGTTGTTCAGCTTCAGGCTGGATTTGTGTAACATACCTTTCGCTGGGCAGGGCTGCTTTCACCAGCCAAACTTTCTTTTCTTGGCTACCTTACTATGTTCCTGGTCTAATTTTAGAATTATAAGTTGAATTTATACCCAGAAAAGCTGCCTGATCCCTCATGGAAAATCTGCAGTGCCAGGAGCATTTTGCAGGCCAGTGCGAAGCTGATCCGCTTCGCTGCTGCACTGTGTGCTTGGCAGATTGGAGAGAGCTTTTTGTGTGCGTTGAGTTGGGTTTTTTGCTGGGCATTTATTTGCTTGCATGACTTAACGTGGCACAGGCTGTCCTAAAATGGAGCCCGGCGCTTGCTCTCCACTGCACTGGTTTTGCACGGGGGTGTAGGACAGGGGCTGGCTGATTGCAAAATTACCCCCTGACGGGTCAGACAGGAGGAGCAGCTTTGGCTCTCACCTCACTGGGGAGGAGGATAAAGTGCCTTCCTCCACCTCGTACAACCCGACAATCCTCCCCGAAGCAGGGCAGCTGCTCCGCGCTGCTCCGCCAGCCCGGGGGCTGGTTTGCAGGGAGTCCTTGCTGCAGAAACCCTGGGGCAGCCTCGGCTGGTTTAGGATGGGGATCCCACCCGGGCAGTACGGAGCTGCAGCGGGGTTCCGAGCTGTCTCCATGGCCCTTTGGGTTTGCTGGGGACCGGCGCTGGTCGCGGCATCCTGAACAAGCTAAACAGGACCGGCAGCACCGGGGAGATGCTGCCCCTGCTCACGTGTGTGCAGACGTTCCTGATTTCAGGGAGAGGAGAACAAGAGTGAATCCTCCAAGACGAAGCTCCAGCCTCAAGTCCCAACCTGCACACCCATTTATTTCAACCCTATAAAGTCTATGTTGCCATAATACA